GGCTCAGATTCGTGACACCGGGTCCTAGTGAGATTATATTGTGTATTTTGTTAAATTCTTCAGTACTTTAATCTTGCTTAATTGATATTTCTTTCCGCTATTTTTGATAAATTGGGTTAAGTGTTGAATAATGGTCGGGCTTGCCTAGTAGTGTGTTGGGCGCCATCAAGACCGGAATTTGGGTCGTGATAATTTTAATATCCCAATTCCCATTGGATTGTAGTTTAATTGGGATTTTCGACATAATTGCGTTTTTCCCAGAAGATTTGTAGAAGGTTTAGTCGTTTTTGATTTGTGAAAACAGAAAACAAAGCATCTACAATTAGAATACAAATAATCTATAATTTATCTACAAAATATCTACAAACTGTGTACATTAAATTTTTATATCCCAATTCCCATTCAATTGTAGCATAATTGGGATTTTTGACATAATTGCGTTTTTTTAGAAGATTTGTAGAAGCTCTAGCCGTTTTTTATTTGTGAAAACAGAAAATAAAGCATCTACAATCAGAATACAAATAATCTACAATTTATCTACAATTTCTGCAATATGTCTTCTTCTTCTTCGAGTTTCAATCTGAAATTCAGTCAAAACCAAGTCTAATCTTCACCAAAACCCCTCAAAATTGAGATATAAACTCTAAACCATATTCCTGATTATTTTCAACAACACCCAATCCAAAAAAATAATGATTTTTGAAAATCCAAAGTTGAATTCAAAACTTTCAAGCTTTTTAATGGCTGTCAATGGTGGAATTGCTGCTCTCTTTTCATTTGCTTTGTATTACTGAATTTTGCGATTGAGAAATAGAGAGAGATGTAGAGAGAATGTCGAAGAACCGAGCTTTTTGCATAACTGATTTCTACAATTTGATTCGAATTTGTTGACGATTTTGTCTTTTTTTGATTTGTGGCTTAAGGGAAAAAAATCGAAGAACAGAGTTTTTGGAGAAAAGAGTCTATGTTATTTGATTTTAAATTGAAGATATAGGATTTGCGTTTCAAATTTGATCTGAAGGTCGCTAAATCAATTAGAATATTCTGTTCCTGATTTGTAGCGCGCCTAATTAGAAAGATTCAGCTACTACTAATTAGTATTTAATGAATGATATAATAATTGTAGAAAAACTGTGAACATAGCGGATAAATTAGAAACTATACGCACATTTGGTAATAAAATTTCATATATGGTATAGGAAGGAAAAAATATCTTTAAAATTTGGAGTAAAGAATGTTGTTCAAGAAACTACATCGGTATTAATGGGGAAACTATGGAAACCATCGGTCCATAAATAGTTTCAACCAAAACTAGCTCAAAACGAAATATCAATCAAAAATAGTCCAAGCAAAATATCTATAAAAATAGCCCAAATTGCAATTATCACTTTTTGCTCGCGCCGGAAACTATTTACTTGATAGCTGAAAAGTGTATAATATCATATATAATTTTTAATATAACATACAAAATGTATATATATACAAAAATATACACTTTTTCAATTATTATTTTGAGGACGGCTATACAGTGTCATTTTTCATTCGTAATACAGGTCCATTTTGCTCAAACATAAAGGCATTTGAAAGTTGTGTTTAGGTATACACAAAGTCAACATCCTTTATTGAAAATAAATATAGAAAATGAGATTCAATGTCACAGTTGATTATGATTTCAAATCTATACAGAAAGTGTTAAATCTGCAAGAGATCATATTGTGGCAAGATTATGGCCCCAGGAATTTTGAGGCAGTTCAGAGTCCCTTGGGCGAGAAGTTTTATTGTATGCCTCACACAACTAACATTAGTTGTGGGAGGCTCTTTTTTGTCTAACAAATTTGTGGACCCCAATCTTACACTTCTGGGTTCACAAAAATCTGAATCCACAAAACCGTGAAATAAAAAAGATGTCTCATACAACTACTGGTTGTATGAGACACAAAATAAAATTTTCCCCTTAGGCAGTCAACCTTTATCTTATGTGACTTGGTCATAGGCTCGTTCGTTCATTAAGTCACTGGCTGAATTAGAGGTAACAAACGAACATGTCGGATCGGATGTAAACATGTTAAAAAATGGTAATACAAAAACGGATAAATTATCCTATCTGACTTATATTCAATGTGGGTAAAAAACGGGTTAACCAGCGGATTATATGGATATCCATATTATTTGACTTCTTAAATATGATCACTTTTAGGAGAATTAAACCTGAGGAACCCCCAAGTTGAGGCTTTATAAATGTAGAAGTTAAACCCATTAGTTATTTATTAGTTATCTATTTTCTAAGTGGATAATATAATTCTTATCCATATTTAACCCGTTTTTAAAAAGTTCATTATCCAACCTATTTTTAATGAATAATATGAGTGAATAACTGTTTTCTTTTAACTATTTTGTCAATCACTAAGCTGAATACACAGATATATATATATATATATATATATATATAGGTGTTGTCTGGCCTGTTTTGACCCAAGTCATAAGCTCCAACATAACCTAATCGACTTGTGCACCGATATATTACTTTAATAATATTGTATTCATTTATGTTTATGTGAAACTATTACCTTATTAGTCCACTTAAAAAAGAGAATTACACTTCTATTTTAGAATCAATTTTATCCTTAATGAGAACGTTTTATAACCATAGAAATTTTAAATTTTATAATCACACAAATGCTATAATATATGTATAATAACAAGTTTTAAAAATTATTTTTAATTTTTTATATTATTTTTTTTAATTCACAATTACAATTATAGCATGTTTCTATAAGGTACGAGTGGAATTTATTCTTTATTTTGTCTTTTATACTCACTCGAATTTCTTTCATTTGATCGATTCTGTCCAGATCCCACCTTTCTTCTAAAAAAGGAAAGTACTAAAGTTGCTGGAGCAATTTCTTTCGATTGGACTTGCTAATCGAATGAATCCTAATTTTGCTACTTTAAATTTTTGTTCTCCTTTCAAGATTTGATGATTTTATACCAACTTACCAAACTTACAGTTTATCATTCTATTGAATCGTTGTGAGTCCCATTAATTGAGATTGGTTCACTCTATCCTGCCTTGACTGCTTTATTCTTCCTTGTATCGATTCGAATGAATGCACCTAAATTGTTTCGAATGCACCTAAATTGAAACAGAAGGAGTATTAAATACGTATTTTCTTAAAAAAATATAGCAGTGTTCTAAATGGACAAAGGAAGAATTTGGATGGGCTTAACTGAATTGGATTATCTCATGGGCTTTGAAAGAAGAATGGAATGGGCAAGAGCGTTGGGCTCTGTTGAAGCAAATCTGTAAAAATAATACGGTATAGCCAGTTTTCGGACTGATCATTCAAAAATAGCCAGCATTTACGAAGTCAATGAAAAATAATCACTATTTTTCTGCAACAGAGACCGGTCCAGCATAATATACTGGAGTTTGGTGCACCTGTGTATGAACTCTAGCATATTATGCTGGACCGGTATACTTTGCTGACTCCAGTATATTATACCGGACAATTATACTTGCTGGAACTCCATCATATTATGCTGGAGTTCCAGCATACTTATCCTGGAACTCAAGTATAATATACTGGCGTATTTTTCGGGTTTTGAACAATGTTTTCACTCAGATTTATCTTTACATAAAAAGTGGCTAAATTTCGATTACTTTTGAAACTTGGCTATTTTTGAACGACCAACTGTAATCTGGCTATTTTTGAATTTCTCCCGGCAAATCTTTTTAAAAAGAGAAAAGGCAGCTGGCCCTATTTTCGGTTAAGGTTATTTGGTTGTAAAATGTTAAAATAGCACGGGCTAGCTAGTTTTCGGACTAGTCATTCAAATATAGCCAGCGTTTGCAAAGTCATTGAAAAATAGCTACTATTTTACTGCAACAGGGACCGGTCCAGCATAATATACTAGAGATTGGTGCACCTGTGAATGAACTTCCAGCATATTATGCTGGAACTCCAATATGCGGAAAGTTCCAGCATAATATACTGGAGATTGGAGCATTTGTGTATGAACTTTCAGCATATTATACTGAACCGGTATATTATGCTGGAACTCCATTATATTATGCTGGAGTTCCAGTATACTTATGCTGGAACTCCATTATATTATGCTGGAGTTCCAGTATACTTATGCTGGAATTCCGTTATAATATGCTGGAGTTCCAGTATACTTATGCTGGAACTCCATTATAATATAATAGAGTTCTAGTATACTTATGATGGAACTCCAGTATATTATGATGGAGTATTTCCCGGATTTTGAACAGTATTTTCGTTCAGATTTATCTTAGCATGAAAAGTGGCTAAATTTCGATTACTTTTGAAACTGTGGCTATTTTTGAATGACCACTTGTAAATCTGGCTATTTTTGAATTTCTCCCTTGTAAAATTGAGTGGGATGGCCAGTTTTTGCAGTGCTTATTAATATTAGCCACTATTTAAAATGTACTCTCTACGTTTCATTTTATGTGTTTTAGTTTGAATAGATACGAAATTTAAGAAAAGTAAGAAATTTTTTTAAATTTCAAGGTGTAATGTATCAAAATGCCCTTTGAATCTTGCTGTTGGAGTTAAAGAGTTATACAAATTGATATTCTTTTCTAAATAGACCGAAAAAAAAAAGTAAGACAGATGAATTAAAATAGAGAAAGTAAGTAATAAATAGTCACTTTATAATATGAAAATCAAATATGAAGAAAAATATTTCTAGCTAACAGACGAAAAAACTCATGCACAGTTTGGTAGAATTCCAAGCTTTTACTTTGTAATTTCTAAGTGCATAAATTTTATCTTCTTAAAAGCTAATAAATTGTTCTAATTTTTTACTAAAACAAATAGAAATTAAAAAGCAAAAAAAAGATTAAAAAATATTTTATTAGAATGAAAAAAGATATTTTAGAAACTTCATCATCATTAAAAAAAAAAAAATCTTAGTAAGAAAAAAAGATCTAAAAAAATTGCCATGTGACTGTTAAGCGTTAACGACACCTATCCACAAATGGAGGGTCCATTCTTTCCAATCCCATGATTGCTTTTTTCCCATATTAATTAACAAATAATTTTTCAAGATCCATCCTAGGAATTAGTACTCTTCGATTCCACTCTACCTCAAAATTCTTTTCTCTCTTAACAATTTTTCAAGAATCAGTTTATAATTAAACTGCTAAAGACACAAACTTGCGCTGTTTAATGTGCTTTGATAATGGATTCTTTGCATTTCACACACTGTTATTCTACTCTAAATGCAAAAAAGAGACAACCCCACAACCAAATTTCGAAACAATTCACTGTTCTTCCCCAGCTGAGTCAAACAAGTGTTAAAAATTCAATCTTGTTGCCCAGAAAAAAATTGGGTTTTCTCATGGATTATAAAGGAAGGGGTACTAGAATTGTACGTGCAGTTTCTTCTGTTGAAACCAGGTATTGTTTGAATTTGAATTTATTGTACTTCCCCGTTTTAATTTATGTAACGTAATTGACTCGACACGCGGTACTGTCCCTAGTGTCCCTTCTTGTATGTCTTTTCATTAATGTACGGCTTATATTTTACCCAGCCGATGGTCTATTAGAAACAAGCTCTCTATCACAAGATAGGGGTAAGATATGCCTACACACCATACTCCCTAGACCTCAGACATTATACTGGGTATGTTGTTGTAGTTTGACTCAGACACGAATTTTAATAAAGGAAAAACTTTTGAAACTAGTGATCTAAATGTGCTTAATATTGTGTAGCTATAGAAGCTTCTCATTGAGTATGAGTTAAATTATTTTCAAATATAATAATGCGTTATTCTTTTTAAAATGGACTAATAAAAAAATATCGTCACATGAACTGGAATAGAGACTGGAATAGAGAGAATATTGAGAATGCTGGTTTCTTATACTCTCTCTATCCTTTTTTTGGTGTCCTTTAGTTTGTAATAAAGTTCAAATTTTCACCTAAATTCTTTATAACTTGGAAAAAGAATAGTGTATGTATGTGTTTGCGTATATATTTGATTTATTTTTGAGGATGCTGTTTTCTTCTACTCTATTGTCCATGTTAGGTGTCTTTAACTTTGATTTTAAAGCTCAAAAATTTTCACCTTGAATACTTAATAATTTGGATAAAAATAGTGGGCACCTATTAAAAAAAAGGGCAGCCCGGTGCACAAAACATACCGCGTTCATGCAGGGTCCAGAGGGTGTGATGTAGGCAGCCTACCCTGATGCAAGTATCAGTGGCTGATTCCACAAGCGGGCACCTATTAAATTGAAATAATTCAATATGAAGTCTTTAAGCTTTAGTTGCAGAAGACCTCGTACTGTGTTTAAGGTGGGTAGTAGTCCTAGCATTGCATTCTGGATTTTGTTGGTGGATTAGAATAGTACTTCTAGAATGATATTTTGTAAGTTGTCTGCTATCGCCGACAATAGAGAGCATAAGTTGGTTGAGGTTTCCAGGACAGAGGGAAGCAAAATATTTTCGGGATCTTAAGTTAGAAGAAGCATGACTGTCTAGGAGACAAAGGAGTTCCAGGGGTTATTGGCTGTGATAATTCTGAGAATATGAAGCTCGAGGGAAGGGGTTCCTGGCAAATAAACTCCAAAGAAATTCACGATGATAGTGTTCGATTCCTATTTCAAGTCATTACTTATTCTATCATACAATTATATTATGAGTTCAGCAATATCTTTGTTGTCATTCGCTAAATTAAGAATTGTGTTTTTTTCCTTGACTAAATTTTTTTCGGATGCAGGGAAAAGCAACAGAAAGGAAAGAACAACAAGAATAGTGAGAAGGTACAGCTGCGTGTTCGGCTTAAGCACCAAGTTGAATTTGGGGAGCACATTGCAGTTCTGGGATCGGCAAAAGAATTAGGGTCCTGGAAGAAGAATATAATGATGGACTGGACAGAAAATGGATGGATTTCGGAATTGGAATTACCAGCTGGTGAGAGTCTTGAGTATAAGTTTGTAATTGTTGGTAAGGACAAGAATATGTTATGGGAAAACGGCAGTAACCGGATCTTGATGCTACCAGAAGGAGGAAGTTTTGAATTGGTCTGTCAATGGAATGTGACAGATGAGCCTGTGAATTTGTTGCAATTGGATCCATTTGTAATAGAGGAGGAAGTAGAAGAGGCAACTGATAATGGAGCTACAATTACTGGCGAGACTGCTGTTCTGGACGCTGTAACAAGTCCGTTTGTGGAGCAATGGCAAGGGAGGGCTGCATCTTTTGTACGTTCAAAGGACGAACTGGATTCCCAAACAAACAGGAAATGGGACACATCAGGTCTCACTGGGATTTCCCTAAAGCTCGTTGAAGGTGATAAAAATGCTCGGAATTGGTGGCGAAAGGTGAGAAGATTGATTAGATCTCGTCTTAATGGCACGATTTGCATTCTGGAAATTGTTTGTGCAATAAAAGAGTTACGTCTGTGCAAGATAGCATCACAGTGAATCTCTGCTATTTTTTCCCTATAATTCATCAATATGCATTGTTGTATCCTCACTGCTGTATATGTGCCTTCTTTTCAGCTCACTTGTTACTGGTGTGTGAAGTCTTCGAAATGAGTGTCTCCTTTTGGCTATATATCTCATATATTTTTACTGACCCTTATTATGATTATCAGTGGTGAAAGGATATGAAGGGAGAGAAGGAACGGGCAAAGAGGAAAAGGGATACCTTTTCTTGTTTTCTGGCTAAGATCAAGTGTGGGCACAGGGGCAAGGGGAGAGAATATGTTGCCATGAGATTGAGAGTTAATGTTTGTAGCACAGGCACTTGGTTCTTATGCGAATTGACTAATGAGTTACAACATTCTCTTCCTTCCGTTTTATTTGTTGCTAAATAATCCATAGAGATATTGATTGCCCTCCATTTGGTGGTCTACTATACCACAAATTGCTTTTTCCCCTACCAGAATCAACATGCCAAAGCTTAATAATTAACTGTCTTCATTTTTTACTATTTTCTAGCTTGAGGTTGTCCGAGAACTAGTTGTTGAAAACATGGAGAGTTCACAGCGGTTGGAGGCTCTTACATATGCAGCTGTCTATCTAAAGGTGTTGTATGATTTTTAGGTTACTTTCTTGATTTGATTCATTTCTATCTTACGTACTGAATATTACTCTTGGGTGCAGTGGATAAACACAGGGCAAATTCCTTGCCTTGAAGATGGGGGTCACCATCGACCAAATAGGCATGCAGAGATTTCCAGGCTTATTTTTCGTGAAGTAGAAAAACTCTTGAGTAGGCGAGACACTACACTTCAGGTATTCAATCATTAACCCATTATGCTTATTTAATTTTATTATGTCTATGGATTCTGGAACACATTGCTCGTCTCTTGAGCCGGTTATTCAATTCTTATTGGATCTGTTAAGTGGTGGTACTTTTGGTGACTCGTTATAAGTGACTGGAATTACGACAAGGTAGAAGTGCGTGCGCATTATCCAACGAGTTGCAAACAGTGCGCCGTTGGGCCTGGGGGATTTCTCGGCAATAAAACAAAAAGTGACTGGAAATCATACCAGTGATTCAGATTCATCGAAATTTGGTTGGTCTATGTTACATTCCTCGAAATTTGATTTGGAAGCTACTACCCCGAAGAGAAAATGCTATTGATTCTATTAATGAGCTAATACAGTGGTTCAGATTATTTTTTGTCTTCCCAGAATCAGCTGTGCTTTTCTAACAACGAAGGGTCTGAACTTTCTTAATGTACTCTTTCTTTAATCTCATTAATAGCTAGACAATTCCCAACACAAAGTAACAATTAGTCAAGATAAGCCCTTGCTTTAAATAGTGTTAAATCATACATCTGCTGTCTGTATATATGATAATGAGATTATAAAGCTTTTGAGTTACAGAAAAATCCTCGTGATGTACTTTGTGGATATGAGTCTGTCATCGTCTTGTATCCGAGCTCTATTTTTGAGTTGCTTAGAAAAGCTTTCTTTTCATTATATGCAGGAAATACTTGTAATCCGCAAGATGCAGCCGTGCCTGCCTTCTTTTAAAGCAGAATTCACTCAATCTGTTCCGTTAACAAGAATCAGGGACATCGCTCATAGAAATGATATACCCCATGACCTTAAGGTTGTAATTGTAGAGCCACCAAATTTTTTTTTAAATTTTCTTTTCATTCTCAATATTTACCTGTCCTTCTCATTATAAAAAATAATATTTACCTGTCCTTCTCATTATAAAAAATAATATTTACCTGTCCTTCAGCAAGAAATCAAACATACTATACAAAACAAGCTCCACAGAAATGCTGGCCCTGAAGATCTGGTATCCACAGAAGCAATGCTCGAAAGAATTACCAAGAAACCTGGACAATATAGTGAGGCATTTGTAGAACAATTCAAGATTTTCCACAATGAACTAAAAGATTTCTTCAATGCCGGGAGGTAGGGACATTAATCTGTTATGTTTCTCAATATTTGATTTCTGCAGAAAAAAGTCAGTCCTGATGTGGGATAATAAAGGAAATGATATAGCAGACCAACTATTCCAGCTTCTCCGCTGCATGTGTATGGTCCAGTTTCATTATTTTGTAAAATAGGCTTCTTCACTTGCTAGATAATGGTATCTCACATGTATGTTGTTCCTCAATTTCTTACGGTGACAAACCCTTATGGAGAGTTCATAAAGCTAGTTGTGCCCTCTTTGAACATGACTAAGCATTAGAGCCATCCGATTGGTATTCCCCAAAGGAATTTTTTACTTCTATTATGTTCTGGGTTTCACTAAGTCTGTATGGATTCCAAAAAATTTTAGTATGTCTTTTCGGACAATTTCCTTCCATGAACTTTTCGGTTTGTATTGTTCCTTTTGAACACCTTCAATCATCATGGCCTCGCACCTACAAACATGTGCATTTGGAGGTCTATGTATGACATGATCCAACTTCTATTGTTTTATCCTCTGTGAGAATGCACGGGAGAAAATATTATTGATTTATATTAACAATGATATAATGAGCCATATATATATTACATGTCCTACTCCTAATACATATGAGATTAGGGTTATTTACTACAATTTAACTATCAAACTAATACTCCCCCTCAAGCTGATGCATATAAATCATATGTACCGAGCTTGTTACATATATAATTAATACAAGGACCAGTGAGAGACTTTGTGAAAATATCAGCAAGCTGATCATTCGACTTCACAAATTTTGTAGCAATATCTCCCGAGAGTATCTTNCACTCCCCCTCAAGCTGGTGCATATAAATCATATGTACCGAGCTTGTTACATATATAACTAATACGAGGACCAGTGAGGGACTTGGTGAAAATATCAGCAAGCTGATCATTCGACTTCACAAATTTTGTAGCAATATCTCCCGAGAGTATCTTTTCTCTAACAAAGTGACAGTCACTCTCGATGTGTTTAGTTCTCTCGTGGAACACTGGATTTGACGCAATATGAAGAGCAGCTTGATTATCACACACAAGTCCCATTTGACTAATCTCACCAAATTTCAACTCCTTGAGCAACTGTTTGATCCAAATTAGCTCACATGTGGCCATAGCCATTGTTCGATATTCTGCTTCTGCACTAGACCGAGCAACCACATTCTGTTTCTTGCTCTTCCAAGGCACCAAATTTCCTCCTACTAAGACATAATATCCAGACGTAGAACGTCTATCAGAAGGTGATCCTGCCCAATCAGCATCTGAGTATCCAACGATCTGCTCATGGCCTCGATCCTCGAACAATAAGCCTTTGCCTGGAGCTGATTTTATATACCGAAGAATGCAGACAACTGCATCCCAATGACTATTACAGGGAGAATCCATAAACTGACTCACAACACTCACACGAAAGGAAATGTCAGGTCTAGTCACTGTGAGATAATTTAATTTACCAACCAACCGCCTATATCTTGCAGGATCGCTAAGAGGCTCCCCCTGTCCTGGTAGAAATTTAGAATTCGGATCCATCGGAGTGTCAACAGGTCTACAACCTGTCATTCTTGTCTCCTCAAAAATATCTAAGGCATACTTCTGTTGTGAGATCACAATACCTGAGCTAGACTGAGCGACCTCAATATCCAGAAAATACTTTAATCTGCCCAGATCCTTAGTCTGAAAGTGCTGAAAGAGATGTTGCTTCAATTTATTAATATCATCCTGATCATTGCCGGTAATAACAATATCGTCAACATAAACGACCAGATAAATACAGAGATTTGAAGCAGAATGTCGATAAAGTACAAAGTGATCAGCTTCACTACGAGTCATGCCAAACTCCCGAATAACTGTGCTGAACTTACCAAACCAGGCTCG